CAAGAGCAATGGCTCTCACTTCCTATTGAACTGATAGACCGCATAATTGAAAGCATCACACATCGCTGTTTGTGCTGTATTGCTTCTAGAGGCAATCATATTCCATATTAAAGGTACTTTTTCTATTGCAAACCGATACTTCCAATTTGTTTATTTTATACATGTGCTAATTTCTATACTACTATTAATGTCTGATAATTTCTTTTTATGTTGTTTAATACCTTACTATGTGTTGTATATTGTGGGTAAGTTTCATAAAATTCCATGTGTAATTTCTTGAGTTATCGCGATTTTTGTGAATTTTCCTTAATTTATGATAACCAGTGTACATATATACATATAAATATATATATACATAAATGATCCAAAATACACACACACATAAATCGATATTTTTCTTAATGTATGACAGAAACATGACATAAAATTATTATATTTCTCAATTAAGACAATTGCCAACATTCAGTACATAATCATTAAAACTGAAACATCTTGATACTTTACAAAGTGTTCAGTAATCTACGTCCTCATATATAATTTTAAAATTATCTTTAAAAATTGATTTTAAAAGAAAATATAAAAAATTAGTGGTCTACTATTTACGAGTGGAAAAAAAAAACTACATGGAAATCTTAAGAATCTCTATTAAGATAGACGAAAACTTCAAAACCAGTTTTTGTCATTTTATTTTATAAACACCGTTGAAAAGCCGACCGAAATTTTGTGTTTCCGACTATCAAGGCATTGTAGTTTTGAACACAATCCGGAGGACAAGGAAACTCCTGGATCGAGTATTGGGAGAAATTTGATTCTCGGAGGACTTTTTGATGGAACTAACCCGCATTTGCGTTTTATGGAGAGAAAAAAACACGAAAATCTCCCACGGTTAGACTGACGGCAAGTGGACTCTAATCCGTGATCCGTCTACCACTGAGGACATTTTACGGATCGGTGCAAGCCTGCGGAATTCGTATCGAATGGGATTCGAACCCGGTTCGCCTCATTGGAAGGTGAGCGCTCTATCCCTGAGCCATCGAGGCCCGTTATATATAAAAAAAAAATTCATTTTTAGTTAATATAGATTAAGAAAACTCAAAATTAAAAATAGATCACGTTTTCTGATTTTGAGAAGCGTTTGCTAATACCAAACTCGACCAGTCATCGCTGAGAATCGAATACGGATCACCTCATTGGAAGGCGAGTGCTCTATCCCATGAGCTCCACACTTTATTCATTAGGTTTAAAATGATTTATACCATCGTGACATTTAAACAAGTTATCATGAAGCAAAATAAAATTTAAAAGAAAATTAAGCAAACGTGGCAAATTTGAGAACTCCCAATACTGGGTAAATTTTTATAAGATTTAATTAAATTTTTATAATAGAGGAAGAAGTATATTAAACAATTATGATCATTTTCTAAAGCAAATTGAGAAATTTTTTGAGGAAAATTGAAAAATATGATTTTAGATATAATTAAAAAAAAGGTGTTTAATAATGAAATATTTTTTGGTTTATTTCATCAGGTAAACTCAAGGAACAACATAAATGGCGGTTTCATTTAAAATCATGCGTCGTGCTTATTTTGCTTATAGTTTTAAAAATAATTTTCTAAGACTAATTTTTCTTTTTGGATGCATTAAAGAAACAGATTTTTTTTCTTCAAATTAAAACTTTATTTCAATCTTTACTTGTAAAAAAGCGAACATAAAAAAAAAGTTTGCTTCTGATTCGGCAATTTAAAACAATGAATCTAATAAATTGAGTTGATTCAATAATCTAAGCGTAATATTGAATCTGATTTGAACCTTAAATTACTTTATTAGATCACAGGATTAAATCATTATAATAATTTGGGAATTTTTTGATATTGATGAAGCTATTCTTACAATATAACACACTTACGTTATAATAATGTTACATGTAATGTCATGTTTACACGGGCTAGAATCAGTGATGTAAATTATGATCCTAATTGATTGGGCTAGAAATAAATAGGGCTAGATTTAGGCTAGAATATAATTGGGCTAGATTTAGAAATAAAGTTAAAACAAATTTTTTTTTTGTCATTTGGATTTGGACATAAGTCAATTAACTTTGCTTATGCAAAAAAATTTGAAAGGTTTGCGTATTTTATTCATTTTTTTAAAATCATTTAGCACTTCGTTTTATTAGAGAGTATAATATTTTTTTTTAAAAATATTCTTTTCATATTATTTGTTAATTAGCTAAATATATTATCGAATATCACAATTTTTTTATTTTTAAGAAATTAAATCTTACTTTGTTTTTCGTTCATAATTCGATCATTATTTAATTTAATGTAATTATTTATCTGAAATGATAAGGTCCCGCAGTGGACTGATCGTTAAGACACGGTTCCCTGCAGTCCACCGAAGTCAAGCATCACTGGTTGCGGTCAGTGTGCGGGTGAGTGACCACTTGGATCAGTCTGCGTAGGGACCGAGGGTGTGCGGTATTGGTCCTCGTTAAACTGTTCTACCGTTAAGTGCTCGACTTCGCGTGCAGGTCGTCGAGCTACCGAAGAGGGGGTGCCATCCCATCTGCAAAGGATCAAAATTGGGATGGCATGTCTTCGGATCATCCTCAGGGATATTTCCCAGACCGTTGCCAATAGCCCATTGTGCAGCTCTAGTGTGACGTAAATGAACTATAATAGAACTATAATAACTGAAATGATAATAATAAAAAATAGTGTTTTAAAAGTGTTTTTTTTTCTAAAATTTATTTAGCACTTTGTTTTAAACATGCAAATAATTTTTAACGTTTCATTTAGAAATTGAACATTACGATTGAACTTAATAATTATGTAATTATTTATGCATAGTAGTACAAGAAAGTATTAATTTATAAAAAACGCTTTAAAAAAAGTTTTTAATACTTTTTTACGCGTATTATGAATTTCTAAACAAACATTTCAATAAATATTTTAAGTAAAATTTGTACATTGTAGTCAATTTATTTAATATCTTTCTTAAGCAAAACATATATATATCATCAAATTTATAAAATGATTTAAATCAATCTGAGTACGAAATTTTGATAGAAATCGGACTTTCTGTACCTTACAAGTAAATGAAATTCGAAAGTACTATATCTCGATACATCGTTATAACGCGATGCAAAACTGACGAGGCATCACGATATATAATTTCTAATATCGCCCAGTCCTATACGTAAATGTATTGAGTAGTTAAGTTAGAAATATATTCTGTATCAAAACTTTGAGGTACAAAAAAACTAAACGGAAAAAAGAAAGAAACGCAAAAACAATTAAGATATTTTTCCGAAAAATAAAAATTATGCACTGAGCCCTTGTTTAAGCAGAAAATAGAAAATTGTAATTTATAAAAGCCCGAATAATGATTAATTTAATTAAAAAAAACATTAGGATATGCCAAGGGAAAAAAACTAACGTTGAAACAAAAATAAAAATGCAGAAAAAATGCAAAATACAAATTAGAAATGAGCAAAACGAATAAATTCGAATCACTTTGATAAAATTGATAATAATTGATAATTCACGATGAAATTAATAAGAATTACATATTAGAGAATTACAAAAATTAGGATTAAACCCTACCCGTTACGCTTCCGGGTATTTGCTTTTGCAGGTCCTTTTGCACAACTTCACAATCCGAGTAACGCTTATTTAATATTAACATATTCAAATCTAACTTAGTATGAATGGTGATACATTTTTTAAAAGTAATTTCAATAAATATGAAACTTAAATATCCTGTGAAACCATTGATTAATATACATTTTTGAACTATTTTGTTTCGGTAAGCAAAAAAAAAAAAGAAAGAAAAAAAAAAGGAGGGAAAAGAAACCTACTATCTTACATTAGTGTAATATTTAACATTGACCACTATTAAGTAAGCATCCCTAACATCAGTATTAGTTCAACGAGTTGCGTTATCAGTATTAGTTCAACGAGTTGCATGGGTTAGAGTTCCCTTGCCGCCAGGCTAACCGTGGGAGATTTTTGTGGTCTTCCTCTCCATGTAACGCAAATACGGGTTAGCTCCACTAAAAAGTCCTCGACGAAGGCAAAATTCTCCCAATACTTGATCCAGGACTTCCCTTGTTTTCTGAATTGGGTTCAGAATTACATGATTACGGAGTGGAACATTAATAATTGTAAACTCAAAATCGGATCGACTGTTCAACGACTGTCATAATGAAAAATAAAATAAACCTTATTGAGCCGATGTGAAATTTTTTTTATAATTGTAAGGAAATATGTTGCATATTTACAAGCACTTAACAGGTAAATTAGTGAATTTGATTTTAAAGCTAGATGTTTTTTAAACCGTGCCTTGATTCTATCATTTTTGTCGAGTTTAAAAACGTTGTATATAACAGGGGATCGCATAAATGTTGCGTCAATTTTTAAGGGGGGTGAGTGCACATTCGCAGAATGAAAATTGCGTAGGAACCAATGGCCAAAAATATTGTCACACGCACTATTACCTGTTTAAAAGCGCACGAAGAAACAGTTCGCAATTGCGAGGTACCCCTAGCGGCGCACAACAGATTCCCATGCTACTTTAATCCTGATAATGTGCCATAATTTTCCCAGAAGTTTGTCACAACTTTTATGTAATATCAATGGTTTTTAAACTTGTACATTTTAATAAAAAATAAATAAAATCTCATTCTAAGAAAATTTTAGCTTTGTGAGAGATTGCGGGGAACGTGAAAATATCCATGAGTCGTTAAAAATTCTCATACAATGAATAACGTTTTCCTGTGTAATAAATGATCTATTCAATAGTTACGTGGATTCTTTGCAATAAGCCTAAAAGCTCTGATTACTTCATTTATCCTGACTGATTCAAAAGTATCTTTGACTAAGTACCTGTCTTTTTAATAAGCCTACAGCATATATGGGTATATAATATAAACATAAAATATAACAAAATGAATATTTTTTGTAGTTTTCGTATCATTGGAAGGATTGTATGATTGAATATTGAATTGAGAAAAATGTTATTCATAAATGTTGTATCAGGTATCTTTGCAGCTACAATGGCAGCATTTAGGTAAGTAATGAATGATTTTTTGCTTATTGAGAACATATTTAAAATTTATATACCTTTTTAATTAATTATTATAAATCAATGAATTATAAAGTATAGTTTCGCTTGAAAGATTAGTCAATAATTTTTTATACACTTTAAAATATTCCGGATCTACGGTACAAAGTGCCGGGGAAGCATCATCTAGCCATAAATCCATTTTCCCATAAAATATTATACAGTGATATTTATTTAAGTAGAATGATTCAGTCATTTTACTGTAATTATTATTATAAAAAATACGGTATAGCAAATATTTTGCTCTGTGCCCGTTCGAGTAAAAATGAATTTTATGGTAAACAGTACCGGCAACCTGAGTGCCGATACTTTTTACCATAATTTGATCAGAAAATTTTTTACTGTATGTTGATAAATCTAATTACAATATAAATTTTAAAAAAAAACATTGATTTGCTAAATTATTATCTTGTCAAATAGGTTTTAATGATATCACGTTCATTAAGTATAAATTCTCCCGAAAATCCAAGCAAAGTCAAGATTTTGCTGATAAGAGAGAAAGCATCACTGAACCTTATTTTTACATATTAATAAAATAAGAAATTATATCTGATGTAAATTCCTCAATGTAAGTTATTAAGAAATTGATCAAGTACTTAGAAACTCTTAGTTCATTAACATTTCTATTTAATTTAACCACAAAATAAACTCCTTTACCCTCTTAATATTTTGAAGAAAACGATCGTAAAACTGCTTTTTTTCATTTAAAAAAATTATATTAAAAAAAGGTGTATGCTCAATATATCTATTGGTTTTTGCATTTTTGGACGAGTCATCAAATTTTGCAAATTACAATGGTTATTTATATCAATGGCGTTCCGGGGTTATTTTGAGAAGGGTAACAGAGGTTACTAAGAGTTAAGAAATTTTTTGACCAGTTATGATTTACAAAACCTGTAATTAAATTTGTATAATGCATTATTTATTTAATATTTCCGTCCTTTTTAAGAAGTTATTTAATTGAAATGCTCGTGAAGAGAGAAATTTCAAAAAACAGCAATATGAAAACATCAATTAAGAAAAAACTGGAAAGTAAAGGGTGAGAGGGGGCACTCGCTTGACACAAAAAGACAACAGCATATAAATACGAATAATGATAAATAATAGACGATTAATAACGTTGGGATAAGGGCTTGCCTGCAGGGCACTGGGCCCATTTTCAAAAGTCGTGGGTTCGATCCCCGCCAGCCGAAGACTCCCCGTGTAGTAAATGGTAAATTATGCACATTAAATCTGTAGAGACACAAAGTCCTCCATTTTCTCCTTACAAGTCATACCTCTGGGGGTCCTTCCCTTGTCTTCTGGACTGGTTCAAAATTACAAGGCTACGGAGTTGAACATCAGTAGTCGTACACAAAAAAGTGTTGTTTTTTTTTTGCTCATTGCTGCATATGATAGCAGCTGGGCTGACTTATTAATTCTTGTGGTGTCATTGCCTTTTTACTTTTTACGACCCCACATTGTTTTACGAAAAACTTTTTGCATATCATTTTTCTCATTAATGATTGCCAGTTATTTTTATAACTGTCCATAAAATCAACTTTTGGTGTAGGATATGATATATTATTTTTTTGTATAAATATGTTAAGATTTGTTATGATATAATTTAGTTGTTATTAGTATTTGTATAGTTAAGTAATTTAATAATATCTACTTTAACTTTTTTTACAAATTATGTTACATTGTGATTTCTGTGTTTAGAACAAGGCTGGGATCAGCAAAGCCAATAAGTCGGGCTGAGAACACTCGCCAGTATGTGTAAGTATATTTATTTCATTTCATTTCTTAAAAAACATTCTGATAAATAAACAAGATATAGGGAGGTCACTCATGTTCTAATGTGATTTGTTGATTCAAATTCTGATCCAGTCTTTCCCCCCGCCCACACTACTGACGTTGCATACGGAGCTTTTGTTAGGACTCCTCGTGTGTTACACTAACCGTTGGAGATTTTTATGGTTTTTCTTTCCACGTAACGCAATCAAAAAATTCTCTAGGAAGGCACCCAATGTTTAACCAAGAAGTTCCTTTGTCTTTTTGGTTGGATTCAGAATTACAAAGTTACGGAGTGGATCAACTCAAAAATCATATTTTCCAGTTTCCGATTTTGTCGCAAAACATATCTGTTATAAGTAGTTGCAATTATTCTAGACCTAAGCTTGGTCTTTCTGGGCCTCTCAATGAAGGTTTCAATCACAGCGGTTAATTCTGCAATGACCGCAGTGCTGTACTAAAATATCCTTAGATCATGGATAACCTTTGCCGCCTCTCTAGCCACGGGAGGTTTTAGTGGTTTTCTGGTCCATGTAACGCAAATGCGAGTGAGTCTTATCAAAAAGTCGTCCATGGTGGCTAGTTTATTCCAATGTTTGAACCAGGAGTTCCCTTGTCCTTTGAGTTTGTTTCAAAATTACGAGGCCATGTAGTTGAAAATTGATAACTGTAAACTTAGAATTGAGTCGTTATAAAATAAGATCAAGTAAACAAAAAAAATGTACTGAGTACAAGGCACTGAATTTAGGGATCCACGTACTAAAATTCTATCTGCTCTAAAAAATATGCAAATTAGTTAGCATTTCATGAGAACCCTTGATTACATGAAGATCCGAGAGTCATTTGTACAGTTATTTTCGTACATCCATTTAATATATTATTAACATTTTTTTAATGGTACTTTTAAATTTATATTTATTGTATTTTATTGAATAGGAACCAGCATAAAAGAGAAAGAAGAGATTAGTTCTTCAAAGATATAGAGCTGGTATATCTGATGAGGTAAAGTACATTTTGATGAATTGTTAGATTATACTTCTCGTTTTTAACTGGAAAAAAAATACTATCGTTTCAACTCATTACTTGTTTCAGGTAGTGTTCGTGAAAAGTCACTAGAAGTCGTGAAAAGTCGGTTTGCCGGTGACCAAACTCATTATTTGCACGTTAAACAGTAAAATTTGACTCTTAAATTGGTGAACATCTTTGTTGAGTAATAATAATAAAAACTTTTGGTCTTCTTGAAAACCAGCTTAAAAAACTACGAAAAAATGACATTTAGAAAATGTAGCTTTGAAAAACTCATATATGGCTCATTCCAAGTGAAACCGATAGGAATAATGTAGGCTGTATGTGGGAGATTATTAATAAAAACATTTTTTTCTTGCGTAGAAAGAATTTTTGAATCACGATTAGGCGCATTTTGAAATTTTATTCGAATTAAGAAAAGGGATATTGGTAATCGACTTTTTAGGTTATGAACTAAGAAAATTGTATGTGTGTAGTATGTATGTTGTGTGTATGTATGTATGTTGTATCTATATATATTTCAACGAGTTGC